TCGGCTCGGCCTGGCCCGGCACCGCGCTCCCGCCGCCCGCCCGCACCGGCGGCTGCGCGCCTCGCCGCGACAGCCCTTCCGTTCTGCGTTTGCCCCGGATTTTTGCGTGCTTTCCCCCGCCGTGCCCGGCAGCATGGGGCTGCCGGCGCTGGAGTTCAGCGAGTGCTGCCTGGACAGTCCGCAGTTCCGGGAGCGGCTGCGCTCCCACGAGGCCGAGCTGGACAAGACCAACAAGTTCATCAAGGAGCTCATCAAGGACGGGAAATCGCTCGTCGCCGCCCTCAAGAGTAAGTGCGGGGCTGGGGGCGGCCCTGCGGGACCCCGCGACCCCCGCCCGGGGCTCCTCCAGCCGGGACCACCCGAGCCCCCGCTGCGGGCTGCGGGGTGGCCGGGCCCCGCTCCCGCTCCCGCAGGGCGTGCGGCGCTCCGGGATGTGCCTGGCAGGGTCCACGGGGACACGGGTGCTCCTGGTTCTGGCCGTCGGCACACGCCCGGGCCTGGCCCTGCTCCGTCCGGGTGGGTCCATCGGGGCACGGGGTTCCGGGCCGGTCCATCGGGTGTGCGTGCCCGTGCTCCATTGGCACGCCTGTGGTTCTGGTTCTGGTCCTGGTCCTGGTCCTGGTCCTGGTCCTGGTCCTGGTTCTGGTCCTGGTCCTGGTCCTGGTCCTGGTCCTGGCCCGGCACGTCCCTCGGGGCGCGCATCCTTCGGGAGCGGTTTTTGGGGCGGTGGGTTGGCGCCTGGCTCCCCTCGCCCCCCGGTTCTCCTCTGTCCCGTGTCCGCTCAGGGTGGGGGTGCCCGCAGCCCCCCGTGGCTGTGCCCGGGCTGGCCCCTCCGGTGTGTCCCCTGTCGCCGTGGGGAAGCGGAGGTGGCTGCCAAGCTGCAGACCCGGGAGGAGCGGTCTGGGTGGGGAGGGGGAGGCGGCGATGCAGGCGGTGGCTCCGGGGCTGGGGACACCCTCACCTGTGGCTGGCAGCGTCGCTGTCCCCCCTGGTGCCCGGGCTGGGCTGCTGCTGTCCCCGCGGCCGGGGCTGGGGACACCTCTGCGTGGCTCCCCGTGCCAGCGCTGGGTGGCTGTGCCCTCGGGTGCTGTGCTGGCCGGGCTGCTCCCCAAGCTGCGGCTCTGTTTCTGCTGTTCCCTCCTGGGGTCATTGGGGTTTTCTCTGTTTTTAGGTTTCTTTAGCCGAAATCAAAGCGCTTCCCCATCCAGGGGGATGGCAGCACGCGTGGTCACCGGTCTGTGCCACGGGGTGACAGGGGCACGTCACAAGCACAGGTGCCATGGAGCCCCTGCAGCATCACCTGGCCAGGGTCGTTGTGGGGCTGTGGGACAGCAAGGTCACCCCAGGGTGCACGGGCAGGTGAAGCATTCCCAGCAGCCTGTCCATTCCCAGAAGGGCTGATTCCTGCTCCCTGCCCTTCTGATCTCACACCGAGCCCCAGCGGTGTAGCTCCTCTGTGCTGAAGTGGCAGCTGGTAACATCTGGCTTACAGGGACTCACTCCCATTGTACCAATTCTTGGCATTTGGGGTTAGAAGAATCTCAAACCCGACAGCTGTGGGTGCATTTGTGGTTCTGCAGGTCTGAGCTGTGTTCTGCTGTGGAGCGTTTGCTGAAGGCAGCAGTGCCTGGCCCTGCCTGTAGCATTCATTTTATCCCAGAACAAATCCTACAGCACTGTCTTTCACAGAAAATGCATTTTGGGAGTGAGCTGCTGAGCCCCGAGGTCTCCCTGGATGTCAGTTAGCTTGTGGCAGCTGCTGGCTGAGGTGATGGCTGTGCTCCCACCCTGGGCAGGCTGTGTGCAGTATTTTGGGGTGTGCTGGGATCCCCTGTGGCTGCCAGTGGGCTCCTGTCCCCTGCCAGTGGCTGTGCTGCACACCCCAGCACGGGCAGGAAGAACGCTCGCTGGCCTCTGGAGATAAGGATGTTTTTATGGCTGAATTGTTTTGTAGCTCCTATTGAATGTGTTCCTGGATTAGCCCTTAATTCCTGCACAGGGCTGGGGGGAGTTCCAGTGGTGCCCAGGCTGCGGGGATGGGAATAATGCTGATTCTGCTGCAGGGTAAATCAGTGCCTGCCTGCCCTGCTGCCACCTCCCCGGCACGTGTGGCACCGAGGTGGCCCCAGGACACTCTGGGGGAGGGTTTGGGCCATCTGGGGCAGGGCACTGCTCGGGAGGGTGGGAAGGGGTGTCCCCTCCCTGGCTGGGGTGCTCAGCCCTCTGTGCATCCTTCTCCTGCTGGGCTCCTGTCCCCTGCCAGTGGCTGTGCTGCACACCCCAGCACGGGCAGGAAGAACGCTCGCTGGCCTCTGGAGATAAGGATGTTTTTATGGCTGAATTGTTTTGTAGCTCCTATTGAATGTGTTCCTGGATTAGCCCTTAATTCCTGCACAGGGCTGGGGGGAGTTCCAGTGGTGCCCAGGCTGCGGGGATGGGAATAATGCTGATTCTGCTGCAGGGTAAATCAGTGCCTGCCTGCCCTGCTGCCACCTCCCCGGCACGTGTGGCACCGAGGTGGCCCCAGGACACTCTGGGGGAGGGTTTGGGCCATCTGGGGCAGGGCACTGCTCGGGAGGGTGGGAAGGGGTGTCCCCTCCCTGGCTGGGGTGCTCAGCCCTTGTCCTGCTGCAGGAGTGACTGCAGGGGCTGTGGGGCTGTGATGCCTCCGGCTGATCCCTGGTGCTGGGTGGGATCTGGGCTGGTGCTGGGTGGGATCTGGGCTGGTGCTGGGTGGGATCTGGGCCAGCTCTGCCCACGGGTGTCACCCTCAGTGTGTGCCAGGTCCCAGGTCTGTTGTGTGAGCCCTTACAGACCGTTCCAGTGCCCAGCAGCAGGGATGGAGATGTTCCAGGGGTGGGGAGCTGCCGTGCTGCCTGTTGCTGGTTGTTGTATCTGTGCCACTGCTGCAGGGGCTGGGATGTCACCCCTGTGAGCCAGTGCAGACCTGGGGCCGTTCCTGACTGTGACCAGGGGCTTGCTTTCCTTAGCCAGCTTTTATTTTTTAGTGGTGTTTCCAGGTGGTTTTGGTTTGTCTCCCCATGGCTGGGCATGGTGGCCTTATCCCGCTGCCGTTGTCTCCATGCTGCTCCTCACGTGGCCGTGGAGCTGGGCAGGCCTGGGGGCAGCAGACCCCTGGCTCAGGACGTGCTGCCTGTGGCCTGGGGGGTCCTGGGGGTGTCTGGGCCCTTGGGCAGTGTGACTGCCTGCAGCCAGAGTTACGTGAGGTCTTTGCAATATCCTCTCTCGTTTTCCTTCCTCTTGCCTTGTTCTGCTGAACGTTTCACATCCTCTTTGTACGAAGGCAGGCGTGGGGACAACGTGTAGCTGGTGTTGGTGAGGGGCTGCTGGGGCTGGGTGGAGGGGAGGAAGATGAGGAGGGAGGAAGAGCCCTCTGCAGAGTTGGGCAGGAGCAACAGCACTCAGGGATGGTGAGACGGGAGTAAGGACACGGAACAAAGTCTCTGCCAGGGTTTGTGAAAGGGCTGCTCTGCCCTGCTTTTGCCCTCAGTGTAGGTACAGAGAGAAATAGGAATGATTCACAGCACTTTCTCCTTCCCTGAGAAGAAAGAATAAATTCACAAGGTTGAAAATGATCCTCATTTGCTGAAGGGCTGGTCTTGCTAAATATCCTCAGCTGCCAAGGGCATCTCTGGAGTGTGTGTGTCTGTGTGTACATAAATGCTGTTGGATCTTTTTCCCCCAGTGAGTTTCTGTGCCTGTTTCCATTGTCTCCCTTTGCTGCTTGGCTGGTATTCAGTGACCTGGTTTTCAGCAAAACATGTCCCTCTTCCTCCCTGATCCACCATCCATAAATTATTCAGAAAGTTTTGCAGATGCAGAGACTTCAAGTGTGACATAAATAATGAACTCAAAGCCTGGATGCCGTGAAACTCGTTCTCCAGCACAGGAGCTGTGGTGACCATCAGGACCAGGGATGCTGAAGGATTTGATCCCTTTGCATGTCCCTGTGGCTGTGTGGGGGCCAGGCAGGCAGCCAGTGGCTCATCCCTGTGCTGGCATCACCTCCAGCCCCTGTGCTGGCACGGAGGGGGAGCTGGAGCCCGGGCACACAGATGGTGAAGTGGAGATGCCCACAGCTTGCTTTGGGAAACAAACAGCACACCTAGGGATGGAGGATGTGGGGGAGCAGGGGCTGCCAGCCATCGCCTCCCCCAGGCTGAGCCTGGCACCCTCCTCCTCCTCTCCTCCTCCTCCTCTCCTCCTCCTCCTCCTCCTCTCCTCCTCCTCCTCCCTGTGCTGCCAGGCGCTGTGTCCCGGTGGCGATGGGGCTGTTGTCCCCTTCAGGCCCTGGGTGCAGCCTGGTGCCCTGCCACGTTTCTGCTGGTTTGTTTTCCTTCTTCCAACTCCAGGCACTAATTTGAAGCCACCAAACCCGTCCACGCCCCGGCTGCTGCCATGCTCCCACGGCACAAGCTGCAATTTGTGTGCTGGGGCTGGGCTGGCTCTGTGAGCCCCCTCCCCACGAGGGCACACGGGCTGGGTCCTGGTGGGGCTGTGCCGTGCCCTGGGCTCCCACGGGAGAGGCACAGCTGGGCTGCTTTGGTGTTTTGGGTCCCTTTTCCTTTTGCTGTTTTGGGTCCCTTTTGCTGCTTTGGGTCCCTTTTCCTTTTGCTGTTTTGGGTCCCTTTTGCTGTTTTGGGTCCCTTTTCCTTTTGCTATTTTGGGTCCCTTCTGTTGGTTTGGGTCCCTTTTCCTTTTGCTGCTTTGTGTCCCTTTTCCTTTTGCTGTTTTTCTGGCCAGGTCACTGCAGAGCTGCAGCAAGGCGGGTGATGCTGGGCTGGACCTGCATCCTGCAGTGCCTGGGAACTCCTCTGGCCCTGCTGGCTTCCTGGGGCACATGCTGTGGCACTGTCCCACAGGTCCCATGCCAGCTGTGCCCCCCTCTGACGTGTGCCATGCTGGCTGTGGGGACAGCTGGGGGTTGCCCCTGCTCCCAGCTGAGGTTTGCTGTCAGAGAGGTGTGGTGTCCCTTCTGTCTGTCCTGCAGGGTGTGATTTTAATGAGCTGCCCCCTGGGCTGACCCCTGTGTGCCTGCACTGTCCTGTGCTGCCACCGTGGGAAATGCCAGCAGGTCTGGGGTGTTTCCTGGGGCACGTCCTGCTCCGGGGCTGCTGTGCAGCTCTGAGTGTGCCCTGGGGTGCTGGGGTCGTTCCTGGTGCTGCTGCTGGTGTTCCAGACTCAGGGATGTGCTTGCACATGGCTTCTGTTCCACATCTCTGTGAGCCTGGATGAGGTGTCTGTGCCCCTGGCTGTGGGGTGGCAG